GGCTTCCTTGCTAGGGAGCTGCAGCAGTGTGGTCGGCTTCGTCTTGCCTACGTGGCCTCTCATGCCAACACTGCTGATGTGTTCACCAAGGCACTTCCGCCTCGTGACCATCAGCGTTTCTGTATTGCACTTGGCCTTGTTCCTGTGTCTTCTCACTTACTTACTTCTTAACCTTGCCTGTACTGCGATCTATATTGTATACCTGCACTTGTTTAGTAGTCATCACTGTACTGTAGCTTTTGCATATATATACCTCTACATGTGGACTGGTCTTGTGGCCCTTTGCCTGTGCTCAGATTGTGTGGTGACGTTGTGATCCACCCTGAGCTTGCTTTGCTTCTCTTGACTGGTCTTGTGACCCCTTGTTCTCCCCCACTTTGCCTATGGGGGTGTGTCAAATGATATATATGCTATATATGTCTAGGCTGTAGTGGGGTAGCTAATATGGGGTACAGCCCCTTCTAGGGTTTCATATTTGTACCTAACTCTTTCATAGTTCATTCATTCCTGCCTAGTATTCTGAGAGTTGGGAATAGTATTTGGGTGAGTGTCGCAGTCGCCGCAGGTATCCCGTGAAGACGAACGACGGTGGCAATGAAGAGCCAAGCTGTTTCTTCGTCTGATATTGATTATTTGCATGATGCAAAATGTGCCATTTTTTTTTAACCGATCGACGACCACGGGGAAAGCGTCGTTTTTACTTGCCCCAGCTGGTAACCCCGTCAGAAAGTCCATCGTCACCTGCTTTCAAGAACACTCTGGAGGTGGAATCGGCCGCAACTGCCCCCTGGCCTCTGCCGTGGCGATTTCATGAGTTGACTGGTGGGATATGAAGCCACATGCCTTTGTACTTAACTGAACATTTTGGGCCAGTAATAATACAACTACACCTGCTGTCGTGTTTTTTTTTACCTCGAAGTGTCGTGCGGTAATTCCGTCGTGAGCCGCTTGTAGTAATAATTCCCGCAGGAAAGAGTAACTTGGTACCCAGTTGAGATCGGCGCCAACTTTTACGTAATACACCCGTTGTGCTGCTGCAAACTGCTACGAGTTGCCACCAGTGAAGAATGGGTTTGCTTCATAACCGTGGTTGGATATGCCTGTGATTAGTGGGCTGGTCTAGGCGAGTAGTACAGCGTGCATTTGGGCAGTTGACCGAGTAAGTGTGAGGAACCTTTCTGTATGTGACCGTGTAATAGAGAAACGAGTCCAGGAAAATCAATCAGCAAATCTGTCATGGGTTGAGGTGGGGCTGTGCACGAAGTTACTGTAGGGATCAGTGATATGCTCGTAATGTCACGTCTCCGTCGGCCAAGTAGCAGCGCCACACTTTGGTGGACGATCGCGAACATTTCGCGGTCATGTATCGGGATTTTTTTCTAAGGCAGGTGAAGTTTGTGGGACTCGTATGCGATGGACTACACGCTCTCGCTGAAGTTCCATGCAACACTACTCCGATGGCAATGTTGCTAGCATAGGTAAACTCTTAAATGGGTTGTGTGGGTCAGCGTAGGTAAAACGAGTGGCGGGTACAATATATTTTTCAAGGCAAAACGTGCTCTTCTCCCCCCACTTAAAGGCGAACCCCTTTCGCCGCAAGTAGGACCCCCATTAGCAGTGTAGCGTTTTTTGAAGCCCTACTTAGCAGTCTTGCGTTTCTAGAAAACCTAGCACGCGAGTGTAACTTGCGTTTTTGAAAATTTTGAAACCACATCACGATTCTGACTTTTTTTTTAGGCGAGAGAAACCGTGACACGGGTGGGCTACAAGTAGACTCGGAGGTGGGGGAAATGTCAAACATTATATATGTTGTGCTTGTTTAGGCTACAGTGGGTTAGCCTATAGGGGGTACACAATTCTAAGGTTAGGTACTTGTACTGATTTCACAGTTAGTTCAATCATTCCTGTTCGTTCATTCAAACATGGTTTCAGAGTAGGTACTTCGCTAGGACCGTTTTTTTTAGGGCCCACCACTACTGCCTACCTACCTGCGCCCTAGTGCGCCTCATGTTTTCACGGCCCCCTAAGGCCCCGCGACCCGCCCCTTAACGGCCCCGTCGCATCCCCTTAGCAACCCTGTCGGCCCCGCGATCGCCCCTAGCGGCCCCGTCGGCCCCGCGCTAGCCTCCCTAGCGGCCCCTTAAGGCCCCGTCGCCGCCCTTTAACGGCCCCGTCGGCCCCACGCTCGCCCCTAAAGGCCCCTTACGGCCCCGCGCTCGCCCCTAGAGGCCCCTTATGGCCCCGCGCTCGCCCCTAGAGGCCCCTTACGGCCCCGTCGTATCCCCCTAGCGACCCCGTCGGCCCCGCGATCGCCCCTAGCGTCCCCATCGGCCCCGCGCTCGCCTCCCTAGAGGCCCCTTAAGGCCCCGTCGCCGCCCTTTAACGGCCCCGTCGGCCACGCGCTCGCCCCTAGAGGCCCCTTACGGCCCCGCGCTCGCCCCTAGAGGCCCCTTACGGCCCCGCGCTCGCCCCTAGAGGCCCCCTTACGGCCCCGCGCTCGCCCCTAGAGGTCCCTTACGGCCCCGTCACCTCTCCTTAGCGGCCCCTTGCCGGCTCCGCGTTCGCGCCTTAGAGACCGAGCCGCCCCACGTGAGACCGCCACGGCCCCTCCAGGACCGAGCCGCCCAGTCCGAGCCGAGCCGCGCGACCCAAACCGAGCCGCGCCGCCATACCCGAGCCGCGCCGCCCTACCTGAACCGAGCCGCGCCGCCCGTACTGAGCAGCCCCTCTGGACCGAGCCGCCCTACCACACTGCTTACGGCTTCTAGGGTGCTCCCACTGCTACTGCTACTTGTCAGAACAGCTTATGCTTTTATGTAGGCTGTAGTGGGGTATCCCATAGGGGGTACAACCCAATTAGGGTTAGTACTTGTACCCTCTTCATTCATAGTTCATCCCATTCTCGTTTCTTCTCATGGTTTCAGAGCAGGTTCCCTAGTGGGAACGCTACCTAGGGCCCACCACAAAATATTTTTTTTCCTGCCCGGAGCGCGCCTCAGACTAGACCGAGTCGCGCGCGCCCCGTGTGCTCGTCGACCCCACGCGCTGCCCTAGCGGCCCCTCCTTGCGCCACCTGTCGACCCCGCGCGCCGCCTTAGCGGCTCCTTGCGCCGAGCCGTCGACCCCACGCACCGCCCTAGCGGCCCCCCCTGCACCGCCCGTCAACCCCGCGCGCCGCCCAAGCGCCCCCCTGCGCCGCCTGTCGACCCCGCGCGCCGCCCTAGCGGCCCCCTGCGCCGCCCGTCGACCCCGCGCGCCGCCCTAGTGGCGACTTACGCCACCCGTCGACCCCGCGCGCCGCCCTTGCGGCCTCGCCGCCCTTACCTGCGGCCCCACCGCCCTTACCTGCGGTCCTCGCCGCCCTTACCTGCGGCCCCACCGCCCTTCATCTGCGGTCCCCGCCGCCCTTACCTGCGGCCCCACCGCCCTTCACCTGCGGTCACCGCCGCCCTTACCTGCGGCCCCACCGCCCTTCACCTGCGGTCCCCGCCGCCCTTACCTGCGGCCCCACCGCCCTTCACCTGCGGTCCCCGCCGCCCTCAACTTCGGCCTCCCCGCCCTTACCTGCGGCCTCGCCGCCCTCACCTGCGGTCCCCGCCGCCCTTACCTGCGGCCCACCCGCCTTCCCTGCGGCCCCGTCACCTCGCCGAGCAGACGACCGCTGAGCCGCCCTGCAGCAGCACGGCCGAGCCACCCAGCAGCTGAGCAGCCGAGCAGCCGAGCCGCCCAGCAGCCGAGCAGCCAAGCCGCCCAGCAACCGAGCAGCCGAGCCGCCCTGCAGCTGAGCAGCCCAGCAACCGAGCCGCCCTGCAGCCGAGCCGCCGTGCAGCCGAGCCGCCGTGCAGCCGAGCCGACGAGCCGCCGAGCCGCCTAACCGCCGAGCCGCCGAGCCGCCCGAGCAGCCCCGTCCGGTGAGCACAGTGCCTCTTTCACTGCACTGCCCTCACCCTACTGTCGCACTGCTAGTCTACTGTGGCCATGGCTACCCCTAGTGTCCTCGCTTTTGACGCTGAGGGTCGAGCCATTGACTTTGACGTCTGGGTAGATGACCTGCAGCTGTTTTTACAGTGCGATAGGGCAGACGGTCTCTCACTCTTTGACCTCACCTCTGGCGCCTCTCCTGCCCCTACTGCTGATGCCGACGCCACTGTTCGCTCCCAGTGGGCCACACGCAATGCTGCTGCACGTCTTGATGTGCGTCACCACCTCGCTACCTCCGAGCGCGCGCACTTTAGTCAGTAAAAGAGTGCTCAGACCTTGTACGACGCTGTAGTTGCACGCTACTCCTCCTCCACTGCCACTGCTGCAAAGAGCCGTCTCATGCTACCGTACCTCTTCCCTGACCTTGCTGCCTTTCCCACAGTCGCTGACCTCATTACGAACCTCCGCACTAGTGACACTCGCTATCGCGCTGCGCTTCCTGCTGACTTCTGCGCAAAGAACCCCCCCCCCCCCCATGTACATCACTCTCTACTACATAGTCACTCGCCTCCCTGACTCCCTTCGCGTAGTCAGGGACCACTTCCTCTCAGTCTCTCCCACCACTCTCACTGTTGACCTCCTCGAGAAGACCCTCCTAGCGGCCGAGAAGAGCATAGTCGCTGTAGGGGCCTCTCGTGGTGACCCGCGCACCCCCATCTTTGAGGGGTGTTCCCCCTCCCCCCTTCTACCCTCTGTTGCTTCTGCTGCTGCAGCCGAACTCCTTGGTCTTGAGTCGGTCGGTGTGGCGTCTGCCCCTAGCGGGAGACGCCGCTCTGGCAAGGGCAAGGGGAGTAGGGGCACTGGAGGCGCGAGCGGGGGCGGTGGAGGTGGCGGGGGGAGTGGGGGTGGCGGTGGGAGTGGAGGTGGGAGTGGAGGTGTCGGTGGCCGCAGTGGAGGCGGAGGCGGCGGCGGCGGTGGCGGTGGGAGCGGAGGTGGCGGAGGTGGCGGCAGTGGAGGAGGCGGCGGAGGCGGCGGTAGCAGCGGAGGCGGTTGGGGTGGCGGTGGAGCTGGTCGCGGGTCTATGGAGAGGAGTGGCTCCGGTGGTGGTCCGCGCCAGCAGCAGCAGCGCGGAAGTGAGACCCTGTCCCCTCAGTAGCTCCGTGAGTGGTACACTGCACGCCAGCGGGGTGGGGGTTTTGGTCCGTGCACCTACGTTCTCGCACCGGCGACCGTGCGGGTGAGCAGTGTGGGGGTGCGCACCCCACCTAGCGCTGCTTTGGCCGCCTGACGGACGCGTGGCGTCACCAGTTCCCTGAGGCCACAGAGATCCATCGCTGGGGCGAGCTGTCTAGGGCGGGAGTTGCCATCTATGATCTTGATTTTGATGCCATTCTTTCTGCCATGTATGCTGTGACTATTAGTGATGAGGGTGACTGTTACCGGTGTTTCCCGCCCGATCCGGGCATTGAGACTGCTGCTCTAGGTACTGGTGCGGCTGCTGCCCTAGGTGCTTGCGACGCTGCTGCTCTAGGTGCTAGTGCACGGTTGTGCATATAAGGTGCCAGTATGATTAAGGTGTAGGACGGGTGTAGTGATGTGTTGTATTTGGTGAATGCAGCCTCAAGGATAAGTAGGTGGGGGGCTGGGAAATTGACGCGGAGTCGGTAGGAGATCACCAAGGGGTGAAATCCTCGCGACCAATGGGAACAAACCCACCCAGGTCCGAGCCGCACATTGAGAAATGCACGGCTCGAGCCAGGGACAGGTAAGTTCACTCTCACACACACACACAATGCTTTCCGTTTGTTATCCTTTCGTATAGTGGATTCTGGTTACCTCTAGCCTTGCCTTTGGTGACACCCACTAAGGGAGGACCGTTGAGGTGAGAGTCTCGTCACTTTCATAACAAACGGAAAGAATTCTGCGTGCGTGCAAGCATGGACGGGTACGACGTGCGTTATGGCCGGACGTATAGTCGGCATGAGCAGGATCGCTCACGGCGCGGACACTCCCGCGAGCGTGGGCGGTCGCTGGAGCGGTCTCCGCGGAGGCCAGATCGATCGCCGCGAAGGCCTGCCTTTCGGGCGGATCAGGTGCCTCTCGGGCATGAACGCCGAGAGGAAGGATCTGCACAAGGAAGAGCCGGCGGATCGGAATCGGCCATGGTGAGAAGTGATCCGTGGCGGACGGAAACGCGCCATGGGGGTGGCGATCTGGGATATCGCCAGGAGACGGGAGCGTATCGCTCGCCGGATGCAAGTTATCGCCGTCGCGAAGATCGGAGGCGCGGGCGAGGCTTGGAAGGACTGTTTTCGGGCCGAGAGGGAGACCTCAACGCTGGCGGAGTAGAAGAAAGCGACGCGGCGGACACCTCGTAGGAGTTCGAGCACGGCGATGCGGCGGAGAACGGCGCCGACGGCCGGAAGGAGGACGTGAGCAAGCAGCGCGACGTGCCTGCAGAAGCAACAGAAGCAGATCTCGCGCAGGCGAGCGTGGCGGCAGAGACAAGCGCGGTGGAGGGGGACGGAACGAGTGGTGCTCGAAACCCGCCGCGCAACGGAGAGGAGCGTGGTAGCGGGAGGCGTAGCAGCAGCTCGCGCTCTCCAGATTTGCGTCAGCAATGCGACGCGGGATGCGGCGACGGCGTGGGCTCGCCAGATCACCGGCGCACTTGTGATGGGGGGCGCGGCGACGGCATGCGCTCGCCAGATCCGCGGCGCACTCGTGATGGGGGACGCGGCGATGGTGTGCGCTCGCCAGATCCGCGACGCACTCGTGATGGGGGAAGCGGCGACGGCGTGCGCTCGCCAGATCCGCGGCGCACTCGTGATGGGGGACGCGGCGACGGCGTGCGCTCGCCAGATCCGCGGCGCACTCGTGATGGGGGACGCGGCGACGGCATGCGCTCGACAGGTCTGCGGCGCACTCGTGAAAAGGGGCGCGGCGACGGCATGCGCTCGCCAGATCCGTGGCCGCTGCATGAGAGGAGACACGGAAGTGGATACCACTCGCCAGATTCGAGGCAACACCGGGACAGTGGGCGCGGGGGCAGCACGCACTCACTAGATCCGCGGAGAAATCGCGACGGGAGAAGCAGAGGGGATTCGCGCTCGCCAGAGCCTCGTTACTCGCGTGATGAGAGACGCGGAGGAGGCAATCGCTCGCCGGACATGCAACGGTACCGTGGAGAGAAGTGGGGAGACAAGGCGCACTCGCCCGACTGGCGCCTGCGTCATGGAGAAAGCCGGGGAGGCGGATATCGCTCACCGCATCGGCAGCAGAGCAGGGATGGGAGGCGCGGTGGTGGGTCTCGATCGCCTGGCCGGTATTGGCAGCACGACGGAAGATGTGCCGGACAGGGAGGGCGGGAGCAACATGGCGATAGAGAAGAAAGCAGTGGGCTGGTGCACAGCCTGGAGCGAGCCAAGGAAGCAAGGGAGGGCCTACAGCGGGCAAAAGGAAGGGGAGCATCAGGGAGATCGGTGGGAGGGCCGAGCGAGGCATGGGGAGAAGGAAGGGGAGGCACGGCCGTGGGCATGAGGGTGGAGGTGCATACACGCTTCTCAGGAGATCAGCATACGGGGCCCACGCTGAAGAACTACCTCATGCAAGTGGGCAATGTGCGGTACCGATGTGAGAGGAGCGGCATGGACTCAGTAGACTTTTTCCTGAGCCTGCCGAACACACTGGAAGGGGAGGCAGAGACATTGTACAGGATGAAGATGGATGAGCTGTTGGAGAGGGCAAGGAGGTATGGGGAAGACCCCACGGAGGCATTCCTAAGACGGCTGAAACGGCAGTTCCCAGGCCACACCGCGGAGAAGATAAGAGAGTTTCAGGACTTCAGGAAGGGGCGGGGCGAGTCACTACTCACCTACTACAACCGATTGGTTAACCTGGCAGAGGATGTGAGTTGCGCGGACACGGCCCTGCTCGTGAGTAAGTTTCTGGACGGCCTGGAGGGTACTTTGGGAAGCGGGCTGCGGTTGAAAGTGTACGAGAGGGGGGCTGACGTGACGCTTGATGAAGTATTCGAGCTAGCAGAGAAGATGGAGATGGCCCAGAGGAAGCTCGAAGCCTACCGGCAACGCCCAGTGGAGCGAGGCAGAGGACCTACGTGGGCCGCAGCCATGATACCAGAAGAAAAGGAAAGAGGAGGGGGAAGAGGGGATAACAGGACTGACACACGGACGTGCCACCGATGCGGGCAGCCAGGGCACTTGCGCAGAGACTGCAAGAACTGCGACTCCTGTGGTAAGCCCGGACACCGGCGGCGGGAATGCCCAACGGCGCCAAAGTGTGACATCTGTGGGAAGGGAGGGCATGCAACGAGGGAGTGTTATCAGCGGGAGGGAGCAGCGAGGAGGACACCAGAGGACCTGGAAAGGCAGATTGGCAAGCTACAGGCTCAGCTGCAGGCAATGGGACCACGACGCGAGGCAGAAGCGGGGATGTACGCTAAGAAAGAAAAGGAGGAGGATGTAGAGCAGGATGAAGAAGCTGCATTCATGAGCTGGGCAGGAAGAGCGGAGGATGAGGTGGAACACGAGGAGCAGCCAGCATACATGGCATGGAGAGGAAGGGAGGAGATGGGGCTGCGCAGCGGGGGAAGGGATGCACGGAAGGAGCAGGTGAGGAAGGAACGAGAGAAAGGACAGAAACCGGAAGTGAAAGAAGAGAGGTGCACAGCAGCACGGCACCCTCAGGAGCGGCTGGCGTGCCAGACTTCTGTGCTGCTGATACAAGGAGGCGCGCTGTCGGTGGAAGGGGAGAAGGCCAAGACGGCTATCATAGACACTGGCGCGCAGAGCGTGATATTAGGGAAGGGGATGGCCGAGAAGCTGGGACTGTGGGCACCGGACAGACATGTAGTGAAGGGGATGCTGGTGATGACAGCAGAGGGAGGAGAGTCAAAGTGGATGCCATGTACAAGGACTCCAATTGAACTGACGGTGCTCAAAGGAGAGAAGCACGAAACGCCGGTCAGGATCAGGTGCGGGATCTCAGAATCTGAAGATTTCGACGTTTTGGTGGGCACGGAGATGACCTTTGCACTGGGCATGACCATCTGCTTCTGGAGGGAGACGGTGGAATTCAGGACCAGGTGGTGGAGGAAGGGTGAGCCACTGGGACAGCTGCCGGTGCAGTTCGTCAAGACAGAGCCGAAGCGGGCCTACAGGGCGGATCTGAAGGAAATGACAGCGAAGCAGGGGGCACAGGAGAGCACGACAAGCAAGGAACAGGGCAGAGAGCTGAGGATGCGCTTCATGGACGAGCCTAGCCAGCAGACTGATTGGCAGCAACCTATCCGCCTGGTGGAACTATTTGGGGGTATAGGGGCGGGGTTGGCAGCAGTGGTGCGGAACGGGATCGCAGTGAAGCAGTGGATTTACGTAGAGAAGGCGGCAGAAGCAAGGAAAATGGCGGAGCATCACGCATGGCAGCTGCACCGCGAGTTCCCGGAGCTGTTGAAGGAAGAAGTGATCAAGGCAGCAATGAGTAGAGGAGTGCACGATGTACGGGCCATCACAGAGGCTGAGGTGGCGAGCTGGGGGCACGTGGACCTGTTGGTGGCGGGATGGGAATGCCAAGGGGTATCATGGGCAGGGAAGGGCAAGGGTGAGCAAGACCTGCGGACACAACTGATGGAGGACTTGTTCAAAATTCTGGAGTGGCTGCAGGCTCGACAAAGCAGGGTGGCCTACCTGCTGGAGCATTTAGACATGGAAGGAGATGTGCGCGAGCCCATACGAGTAGTAAGGGAGCGAGTGACCAGACATGTGGGAAAGGGAGTGAGCTGCGACGCGACACGGATGGGAGCTTACGCACACAGGCTCAGGATGTACTGGCAAAATGTGGTGCCAGCGGAAGACCTGCAGAAGGAGATAGAGGGGGTACGGAGAGCAGGGGGGCGGAAGCTGAGCGATATACTGGAGTCTGGGCGAACGCCAGCACCAGTGAATAAGAAGAGCTACAGCCGACATTATCCGTGCAATCAAGTGGGGCAGGAGAGGCAAGCACTGCCTACGCTAGTGTCATATGAGGGGGCAGCAGGGTACCAGATGGATGGGAAGCAGCCAGGCCCAGGACTAGTGCTCGACCACGGGAAGGGAAGATGGGAGGAGCCCACGGCCCTGGAGAGGGAGCTGGCTATGGGGTACAAGGAGAACGCTACAGCAGCCCCTGGCGTCACTGAACAGGAACGGAGGCGGGCAATGGGGAACGCAATGGATGGGTACGTGATGAGGTGGTTGGTGCAGCGGATGTGGAGAGAGACAGTGCAGCGCTGGGGACTGAAGGAGGGAGAGAACACAGTAGCAACGGTGAGGCAGGGGGCATGGGCCTGCCTGCCGAAAGCAGAGCATGAGTGGAAGATAGGTGAGAGCATGAGTGAGGGAGGGAAGGCAGCCATGCTGGCACTGCTGGTTAAGCACAGGAGGGGCTTCGCTTTCACCCTGCAGGAGTTGGGGAAGTGCAAGATCAAGGAGATGGCATTGAAGCTGAGCAGCGATGAGCCGGTGTTCCACCGCCGAAGAAAGATGCCGCCTGGGGATGAGGCGATCTGCAGGGAGAAAATAAAGGAGTTACTGGAAGCTGGATTGATCAGAAGGTCAGAGTCAGAGTACGCGACCCCGACGGTAGTGGCAGCCAGGAAGGATTTGACAGGAGAGGTGCTGAGCCGCAGGATGTGCGGCGATTACAGAGATCTTAATTAGATCACCGTGCCGGACAGGTACCCCATGCCGATGGCGGAGGAGCTCTTTGACAAGATGGCCGACGGGGTGTACTTCACGACGCTGGACCTGCGCCAGGGATTCAATCAAATAAAAATCAGGGAAGAAGATGTGAAGAAGACAGCCTTCCACAGACCGGACGGGCTGTACGAGTGGCTATACATGCCCTTCGGCCTACGGAACGCCTCGGCGGTGTTTCAACGAGTCATGGACGCGGTGCTGCGGGGAATTGAACATGCAGCATGCTACATCGATGATGTAGTCATCTTCAGCTTGACCGAGCAGCAGCATCTGGAGGACGTGGAGAGGACCCTGAGTGCAATAGAGGAGGCAGGGCTCACATGCCATCCCAACAAATGCAGGTGGGGGGAACGGACGGTGCAGTACCTGGGGTATGAGGTGACAGGGGGACAGATCGGGATCCAGCAAGCAAAGGTACAGGTGCTGGACAGGCTGAGGGAACCTAGAGACAAGTCAGGGCTGCGCGCGGTCTTGGGCTTCCTCAGCTACTACAGGCGCTTTGTGCCTAACTTCAGTAAGAGGGCGGCGGTGCTGAATGGGATACTGCGTGAGGACAAGGCATGGGAGTGGGGAGAGCAGCAGAGGGTAGCACTCCAAGACCTCATGACAGCCGTAAAGACGGCGACAGTGCTACGGCTGCCAGCAGCAGACCAACCTTTCGTCCTCTACACCGATTGGAGCAGCCAGGGGATGGGGGCAATACTGTGCCAGGGGGTGGAGGGAGTGGAGAAGGTGGTAGCCTACGCCAGCAGGAGCTGCAACCCCGCAGAGGCACAGTATAGCTCATACATAGGGGAGGGACTGGCGGCAGTGTGGGCAGTTGGGCACTTCAGGGTGTACCTGCAGGGCCGCGAGTTCACCTTGGTCACTGATCATCAGCCCCTCACGTGGCTGATGACCACACCAGGGCTGACGGGAAGGAACGCCAGGTGGGCCGTGAAGCTGCAGGAATATGATTTCCAGATCAGGCACAGGCCGGGGAAGACGCTGCAGCACGTAGACGATCTCTCCCGTAATCCACCACTGCTGGAAACAGGACAAGGAACACAGGGGACGGAGGGGACAGAGCAGGAGCCAGCGCACACCCTGATCATGCTGGCGAGAGAAGTGGAACAAGTCGGTGCCAAGGGGAGTAAGGGGCCAGCGGACATATGGCAGGATGAGAAGGCGATGAAGTGGGTGAGGGGAGAAACAGAGGAAGACGAGGCAGTGTCTGACAGAGTGAG